GCACGCACGATAAATACTTTTTTATTTTCATGAGAATAGTTTTATTTTTCTTATTCTAAATATTATATTCATGTTTGTAATGCTATGTTATACTGTGAGCTACCAGCTCCAAATGTTATCTCTTTAATTTTTTGTTGTGAAAAAATGTCTTTGAATGAATTGCGATATACAAATTACAACAAGAAAATCATTTAGATCGAAATAAGAAGATCCTTCAATAAGAACACAAAGATATACTTAGACTCATTATACAAAAGTTAAAGATATTGTAGTATCACTTGAATCGTATTCTTTATTTTATTTGGTATGGGATTTTATTTTTTTATTTTGGAGATTTAATTTGGCGCCAATTGTTGATATCAAATCTTTTATATGAATGATGCATATAATTAGAATTAATAAGTAACTAACAAAGGTAGTATCATTTGAGTTTTACTTTTTCTTTTTTGATAAAATTTGATAAAATTTAACTTGGTTAGTCAAGATAAAAAGATATGTAACGCATCACTTAGACTTCTATTCGAGAAACATATTCTTAACGTTCTTTTTTATCTTTTTTTAAAAATGTAAATGCTAATTTTATGCTCTTGGGATTTTTATTACACTGAAATATAATTTTACAAAAGAAAGAAGGATGTATAAATATGAATGTTTTTTTTATAATTTCATAATTATAATATAATATAATTATATAAGTTTATGATTTTTATTACGCTAATGTAATTTTACAAAAAAAAGAAGGATGTATAAATATATATGGCCATATTATATAATTGTATTTAGTTTCATAACACATATAATTATATATGTATAAAATTGTATTGACAGTTCTTTATATTCTTTGACTAACTTTTTGCATAACATCGTAACTAATAAAACCAAATCAATGTTCTTAAACTATTTAACACCATAAACAATAGTTTTCAGCTGATCAAGAAATTAGAATGCTTACACGTTGATAATAATTATTCTTTGGTTTGACTGAATATCAAGTTACTTTTTAATTCCAATTGATATTCCAATTGATTTAGCAGTCCAGAACATTTCTAGGTGGAATTATATTGAGGGTAATTCCCTTCCCAAGAATGAATTCATTAATGCCATATTATATTGGTTCTAAATAGAAATGTAAAAAAATGATACTTTTGACTTCGGAGAAAAATATCAAATAAAAAACGATATTTTTGATTAAATCATACAAAATTCATGAAAAAATATTGAATTCATGTTAAATATAGAAAAAGAAATAGAATTCATTTTTCTTGTTATTTCGATATTTTTTAATACTTTTGTCTTTATAATTTTATATCGAAGCGGAAATATGTATTATTGGCTAATTCTTTATGAATTGATAATAGGTTACTAGATCTATTTGCGTTGCTTGCACTCTTTGCATTCATCTGTGCTTTCTCTTTTTTCAACGCCCGAATCTATTTTTCTAATTACTTTAAGTGCAAAAATTTTAGAAAATTTCAAACAATGCGACAGACCTAAATGACCTAAAAAATATCCGAGTAAAAAATTGTCAAAGCCGAAGGAAAAAACCATTAATTTTCGAGTTTTTTACCCTAAAATTTTAGTATTTTTCCATCTCTAATTCTGAAATCCACTTTTTTGAAATTTGATAATTCTATATTAATAGAAATTCAACACTCCAATGAGGTCTCCTCTCTTGTCCATTGCAGACTAATTTTACAAGATCTTAAAATCAAAGCGTTGAGAACTTTAGAATTTTCGTTATCACTATACTTCATTACATCGATTTATAATTTAATTCTTATGTAAGAACAGAACCAATTTAAATACTGAACTGATAACACATGTTTCAACACTTTCGTTCTACATTATTGACAAATGCAGTTGTTTTATCTATATTTTTGTTCTTTTGTCGACATATTCCTCGTGCAGTTTGGTAAGTCACTCTCATATATACATTATTTCATTTAAAGAGTTACCTTATACATAATTTGATTGCTATATAGACATTGATATCGACATTACTTTATTGGATTCTTCTTTGGATCATATAATCTACGAGTGACTAACCATTTAACTGTTTTATGAGGGATGTAAATCATTATTCGATCTGTTCGCTGAGGACTCTAAAGTGAGTCGAGACGTACGAAAACTTAAATTGAATGCGGTATTTTATAATTATAACTTCAAGCTATAATTAGAGTCCAACCGAAACTTTTATCAAAACAAGCACTCATTACGTCATTATGTTATCAGATTCGATTGAAACCATTTCAAGTAGAACAAAAACGTTAAAAACTGTTGAGAAAACGTAATAAGATTATAAGGTTATAAGGTTATAAGTTAGTAAAGTTATAAATTAATAAATGTTTTTAATGCGTTATAAGTGTCCGTGTAGGAAACGTTAGAAATCAACTAAACGTTTATGAAACCAATTTAAAAATTTATAAAACGTTATTTATTACTGTAACAGAATCATTTTAAAACGTTTACTAACAAATTTATCTAATGTTTTTACATCTATATAACCCAGTTTTATAATAGGTTCTGGACGTCTATTCATTGAAAAAAATGCACATAATTTTACATGGAAATTACATGTATCGTATATGATTGAAAAATTACCTAAATATGACTGAAAATTTTTACGTAAATAGCTAGAGGATTAGAAAAGCTCTTATACTTATATAGGTACCTAATGTGAACCTGGCACCCGACTTAAAAAAAATAATATTTTTCAATAGGCATTAAACTTGGTTTGTACTATCTTTCTTTTCACTTGTATCTCAAGAGTTTCAAAAATATAAAGGCCAGCACCACACTTTGAGATATTTGAAATCTCTAAACGGGTGCTGTTTCGTTTATATCCGTTTATATATATATATATATATATACCATCGATTTCATTTGGACTCTCGTTTCATCCTCAAGGAGGTGATTGTACCGAATTTTTAAAACAGGGATGAGAGTCAAGTTCGCCATTTTTTAAGATATCTTAATCTGTAAACGAATATTGTTTCGAGATTGTTTGTACCATCATTGATTTTGTTTGTATCTTTAAGAGATTCATTGTACATTATTTTTTAAAACAGAGTGAAAGCCAATTTCACCATTAAGAGTACAAACGAAATCAATGATGGTACAAATTGATGATGGTCCCAAAATAGTACCCGTTTTTAGAGATTTCAAATATCTCAAAGTGGAGTGCTGGCATTTTTTTAAGCCTTTATGTTTTTGAAATCCTTGAGATATAAACGAAAAGAAAGACGAGTACAAATGGGTACAAATCGAGTTTGATTTAATGCCTAGATATTAAAACAAATCATTTTCTTTAAGTCGGGTGCCAGGTTCATATAAATCTAATTGGTCCCCCAAAGAGACAAATATTATAATTAGAGCGCGTAGAGCTGCAAATACAGTGTATACTAAAAGACCACTATTTTATTTATGCATTTTCTGTCGTACGGCAAATTTTTCAAGCCTGTTGATTGTATAAGATAGAGAAATCCGAGGATTACTCTATCCTATACGCATTTGTCGTATGACAAAAACGCACAAATGAAACGGCTTTAGAGTACCTCAAATAAGGTCTCTGTGAAACTCTTAACACCTCAACTTTAAAGATCAGAAATTTTAATAACAGTACTGCTTTGTAGAATTATTGCGGGCAGTGCAAGCAGTTATTAAAATTTCTGATTTTTAAAATTGTGTTGCTAACCGAGACCAAAGTAAGAGCTAATACGGACAGAGCGCGAATGAGAAAAAATCTGAAATGAGTTTGTGCAATAATCTGCTACACAGCCATACATGTTGTTTGTAACTTGATAAATTCATATTCTTCGTTTCATTAAAATGATATGTAATTCAATGCAATTCTTCACCACTTACTTATTCATTCATTTATATTTTATCTTAGAAAACAACGATTTTAAAACATTTGTACAATATAACATGGTTATTTAATTTCTAAAAGATTTCTAAAAGAACATTTTTAAAATAACTTTCAAAAAGTTCTATTTTTACATACTTAAACGATTTTAAAATAAAAATAACTATTTCTAAACATCTTATAAACGTTACTGTTTTACTTGGGATATAGGGATATAATTCCGGTATATGTGTCGCACCTAAGATAAACTTTATTTATTAAGTATTATTTACTATTTTCAAGATAAATGAGTTATATCATTAAAAACTTTGTATTGTCTGCTACTAAGAAAAAAATATTAGAAATCTGACATACTTATTTTTCGTATTAAAAATAGAACTTTTTGAAACATTGCATTTCTGGCGTTTCTGGCATTTATGTCCTATAGAGGTGAGATATATGGCTACTTATAGAGGGAGGCGAGGTATGTACGATTCACGAAAAATTTATAAATAATAATGCTTATAAATAAGACGTAAAATAACACAATAACCTAGAAAATATGTTTACAAAGTTTTACTAAAGAATAAAAATGATAAATATGTATATGAAAAAATAGATATTAATGACAATCTCTCTCTCTCTCTCTCTCTCTCTCTCTCTCTCTCTCTCTCTCTCTCTCTCT